TTTGATCCCTGGGTCGGGAAGATCCCCTGGAGAAGGAAGTGGCAACCCACTCCATGCTCTTGCCTGGAAAATCCCATGGATGGAGGAGCCTGGTAGGCTACAGTCCATGGGGTCCCAAAGAGTTGGACATGACTGAGCGACTTCACTTTCACTTTCTTTCTTTTCACTCTTCTAATGAGATAAATAAGCGGGGTGATGATATACAGCCTTGACATACAGTCTTGGCATACTCCGTTGTTCCATGTCTGGTTCTAACTGTTGCTTTTTGACCTGCATACAGGTTTCTCAGGAGGCAAGTAAGGTGGTCTGGTATTCCCACCTCTTTAAGAATATTCCAGTTTGTTGTGATCCACACAGTCAAAGGCTTTAGCATAGTCAGTGAAGCAGAAGTAGATGTTTTTTTGGAATTCTCTTGCTTTTTCTGTGATCCAGTGGATGTTGACAATTTGATCTCTGGTTCCTCAATTTGATCTCAGTATCCTTTGAGTATATCTTTTTCCTTAATATTTTCTCGAAGTTCTTAAATTCACTATAGCTTTTTTGGTTATTATTGTAATGCCTTTATTTCCTCTAGCTTCCTAGAATGTTTTGGAGATATAAAATATCTTTGTGTTGAAATCTTCCTCTTGGTGGTTTGGTTAGTCAGCTGTTCTCTACCCTAAGTCACTTGAGGTCAAGTTTGTACTGGGAGGGTGGGGCACAAGACTTCTGCATTCAGAGAGTAAACCTGAGATGAGATAGTCAGACCCTGTGAACTCTAAATGTAAACTTGGTGTTCTCTGTGCTTCTTGGTTCCTCTTTACCCTTTCAGGGGAGATATCCTGAGCAGACCTCTCCTAAGGTAGCTTTCAGAGTCTGACAGTTCTAAGCTCCATTGTCCTATATCTTCATTATCCTATGTCTTCTTGCCTTTTTTTCCCTTTTAATTCTATGAAAGGGACTTCTGGGCTTCCCTGATAGCTCAGTGGGTAAAGAATCCTGCAGTGCAGGAGGCCCCAGTTCAATTTCTGGGTTGGGAATATCCACTGGAGAAGGGATAGGCTACCCACTCCGGTATTCTTGGGTTTCCTTTGTGGCTCAGCTGGTAAAGAATTTGCCTGCACTGCGGGAGACCTGGGTTGGGACTATCACCTGGAGAAGGGAAAGGCTACCCACTCCAGTATTCTGGCCTGGAGAATTCCGTAGACTGTGAAGTCCATGGGGTCGCAAAGAGTTGGACACAACTGAGCAACTTTCACTTTAACATATGAAAGGAAATAAAGAGCAAACTTATTTCTAGTTCATTTTCTGAAAACTTCTAAAACTTTAATAGAAAATTTAAAATTATCTTATGTATTCCTTTTAAAATCTTGTTCCTTTAGAGTTCTGTAAAATTATTTTTATTTAAAAATTTAAAATATTGTGTTAATCATAAAAATATATTTATCATTGGTAGTGAAGGTTCATACCAATAATGATGACTCTTTCTAAACTGTATCACTGTATTGAAGTAACAGCTCCTGTAAGTTGTATTGATAAACTTAGTGGGTTTTTACCCCCATTATTAAACTTATACCATCACATAAGCTTAATTTATAATGTAAATTGCCAAATCCTAACCCTAATTTTTAGTTTTGAAAGTTAGCCTTTTTAGCTGTTATCTTCTTTCACGCAGGATTTACTACTCATTCTGTATCCTAAACTAATATCAGGAGTAATTGGTATGCTGCTGTTATGAATAGCAGTAAAATGATTGAATCAAACCAGTACAAGGAAGAACTAGTATTATGGTTTCAGTATTGAAACACTATATAATATCAAACCATTCATAATACGGCCAAGGAACTAGATATATCTAGTACAAAATTACCTTTATAAATTAGATCAACCAATAATTTTTACAGAAATAAAGTACTAGATGGTAATCTTATTAAATAGCAAGTAGTTCAGAGCATTCTTTATTGATCCTTTGTGTCAATTTTGTTGCTTTTTTAGTTAAAAAATATAGAATTTATATTTATTTCTTTTCATGACCTTGCTCCTCTTTTTCTTAGTTCAAAGTAGAGCATACATTTGTACTCCCTTGGTGGGAACATCTCAGGTAATATGGGATGTTAATATTGCATCTAAGGACTGTGTGACAGCGGAGAGAACAGTTACTGGCATACAAATGCACATACATGAGGCACCATACTTACTTCTCTCCCTTACTCCACACTTCTCTCCCTTACTCCCTTTCCACCTTGAATTAGACAGACAAAATTCACCAAAAATCAGAGCAGAGTTAACATAAAGAGTTCATTATTTTGGCCTTGGGGCATAAACTAATGGAAAAGAAATTGAATTTAGTAAATTATGCTGTGAATCATTTCTTTGTAAATTCTCTTATGGATTCCAGTTCTCAGAATTTATCTTGTTCTTTTGGCAGATTTTTATTGCCTCTCGGGATCTGCTTTACCAAGACCCAGAGGGTGATCGTAATGATCTGAGGCCCAGAAATCTGGATTATGGCTTTACTTTTTGGCAACAGCTTTATTGAGATATAATTCACATACCATACACATCTCTAAGTGCACTGAACTCAGTGGTTTTTAGAATATGAACTCAGTTGTACAGTCATCAAAGGAGTCTTTAAATAAGTGGTCTTCTATGACTTTTTTTTTAGCATGGTGTTTTTGAGGTCTGTATACTGTAAAGGGAATCAGTACTTCATTTCTTTTGATGATTGACTGTTAATCAATTTTGTGGACTTACTTATTCATCAGTAGATGGACATTTGTATTGTTAACATGTTTTGGCTCTTGTGAGTGGCTATAATGGTACTATTAATATTTGTGTATAAAGTTTCGTGTGGATATATATTTTCATTTCTCTTGGGTTATGCCTTGGAGTGGAAGTGTTGGATCATATAACTCTGTGTTTAATCTTTTGAGGAACTGCCAAACTACTTTTCCAAAGTATATGTACCATTTTACATTCCCACCAGCAATGTGTGAGGCTTCCAGTTTCTTTACTCCCTTGTCAACATTTGTTATTATCTGTAGTTTTTATTGTAGCTCTCCTAATGGGACCTACTTGAATCTTGAATCACATATACCTGTGCCTTACTGTGACTTGTTTTTCTTGCATTTAATTATGGTGATCCTTGTATGACTGGCTGCCTCTTACAGTTTGCTCATTGCTCTATACATATGTAAACCCATCTTTTGTTCCTCCTTTACTGCTGATCCTGCTGAATTCCAGACAAGGCTTGATGATTGATCTTGGATACAACACTGCCTGTCCTTGAAGAAGATAGAGATTTTGATAGCTTCCTATAGAAATAGGTTGTTTCAGTTTTTAATCGCTGTCATCTCTTTATCTATTTGATAATAGTTAAATGAAAACATATACCTGTTACGTTGTTTATTCCTGTAATTGTCAATTGTGGAGAAGAAAAATCTTGCTACTAAATATCTGTCTTGTTTTCCTCCTTTTTTTGGAAGTAGTTTACAAAGTGGGTGTTAAGTACAAAAATCAGCTATAGTGTTAGAAGTTAGGATAATAGTTAAAACCCTTGATGGGTGGAGTGACTGGAAGGGGATTTCTGGAATGCTAGTTATCTTATGTTTCTTGATCTTGGAGCTAGTTACATAAGTGTGAGAATTCATTGACTGTAAACTTAGAATATATGTTTTTGTTATACTTCAATAAAACCTTAAGTTAAAATTGTTAACATTGTTTAAATCATTTTTAGCACTAGTAAAGGTCTTCATTTGTCTTATTAACTACCTTTTAAATGAGTATATTTCCATTTAAAAATTTTATTTATTTTCAATTGAAGGATAATTGTTTGACAATATTGTGTTGGTTTCTGCCATCATCAACATGAATCGACCATAGGTATGCATATGTCCCCTCCGTCTTGAACCTCCTTGCCGTAACCTCCCATCCCAAGAATGTATTCCATTTTGAGTCATGATATTTAATACCTTACATTATCACCATTCTTGTATATACACTGCTTTGATGTAGATGTTTTAATTTCAGGTTCTCTTGTTAGGGCTTCCCAGATGTGCAGCTCATAATTTTAGAGATACAATGATTTAGGTTTTTAGATTGGCTGTTGAGAGTTTGATTTTTATGTTCTGCTGTGTTGCTTTAACTGAGTGATCTGAAGCAATTCAGTGTTGGCTTTTTTGTTTCTATATGTATCTAAAACTTCATGAAATTTAGTAGTTGTGTCTACTGTCTATTGGTCAGTTGAGTCTGGTTAAGAGACTAGAGTAGTGTGAAGGAAAGAACCACAAAAGAGAAGCTATATTTATATTCATTATTTATAGTAATCATCTATCACAGTAACCATCAAGATGTACAGAAAGTATTTGATATAATTATCTCTTTAAAATGTGATAAAAGAAAAACATTATTGACTAATCAAAGTCTTTTGAATTCTGATCCTTTTATCTGTTTATACTATAATAGGTTTTGGAGAAATTGATTTTGACCAAATACATTATGCTGCTTATGTTAGGAAGATACAATAAGATCAGCTTTTTGATTAAGATAAGTTTTGAAGTAGGCTTAAGTTCTGTGTTCTATGATCTTTACTCTGTTTCTAAAAATTGGATCTGTAAGAGGTATCAGAAAAATAACTTGTTATAGCCATTTTATATCCTGATGAGAAAAAGGCATTTCTGCCCTATTACAGGAATATTCATGCTTCCCAGTTGACGCTTGTGATAGAGAACCTGCCTGCCAGTGCAGGAGACTTAAGAGATGTGGGTTCGATCCCTAGGTTGGAAAGATCCCCTGGAGGGGAGGGCATGGCAATCTATTCCAGTATCTTTGCCTGGAGAGTCCCATGGACAGAGGAGCCTGATGGGCTATGGTCCATGGAATCATAAAGAGTTGGAGAGTCGGACACAATTGAAGCAACTTAGCACGCACGCACAGGAATATTCTCAGTGGATATGATAAGTCTGTAAATATTATAATAAAATGCATTGACCATCTTTTAAATATCATGTTGTGTCTTCTAGGCCTTCCTTAAAGTTTCCCATGTCTCAATGGACTCCTGAATATAACAAGCTGTATACCTTAAAAGTGGATATGAAGAGTGAGATTCCTTCTGATGCACCAAAGACACAGGAGAGTCTGAAAGGGATCCTCTTGCATCCAGAGCCCATCGGGGCAGCCAAAAGTTTTCCTGCTGGAGTTGAGATGATTAATAGTAAAGTGGGGAATGAATTCTCTCATTTGTGTGATGATTCTCAAAAACAAGAGAAGGACATGAATGGTAACCAACAAGAGCAAGAAAAAAGTGTTGTTGTGAGGAAGAAACGCAAAAGCCAGCAGGCTGGCCCTTCATACATGCAAAATTGTGCTAAAGAGAACCAGGGAATATTAGGATTGAGACAACACCTAGAAACACCAAGTGATGAAGATAATGATTCCTCTTTTAGTGATTGTCTTTCTTCTCCTTCATCTAGTCTACATTTTGGAGATTCTGATACTGTGACTTCGGATGAGGATAAAGAAGTCTCTGTAAGACATTCCCAGGCAATTTTGAGTGCTAAAAGTAGAACTCATAGTTCACGGTCCCATAAGTGGCCTCGGACTGAGACAGAATCCGTTTCAGGATTGTTAATGAAAAGACCCTGTTTTCATAGCAGTTCATTAAGGAGACTTCCATGCAGAAAGAGATTTGTGAAAAATAATTCCTCCCAGAGGACACAGAAACAAAAAGAGAGGATATTAATGCAGAGGAAAAAACGAGAAGTGTTAGCCCGAAGAAAATATGCGTTGCTCCCCAGTTCTAGTAGTTCCAGTGAGAATGACCTCAGCAGTGAATCCTCTTCCAGCTCATCAACTGAAGGAGAAGAAGATTTGTTTGTTTCTACCAGTGAAAACCACCAAAACAATCCAACTGTTCCCTCAGGTAAAACTTTTGTTCCTTAAATTTAGTATAGAATGGAAGCTATTGCATTGTGTTTGTCCTTATTTTCTTCTACATTTGGTGATTTCGTTATATTTAAAAGGAATATGAGGCTCTATTAACTTTTATGTTTAACTTTTATGTTTAAGCTCTATAAATAACCAAATTTATTTAGCCGTGACCCCTCTTCTGAGATACAAATGTTTAAATTTTCTAAAATTTTAAATAGAAAATTGTAAATTTTTCTATTTTTCTGATGAAAATGAAGCAAGAGATTTTATTGAGGGTTGTTTTGAAAAAATTTTCTTTTTATACATATCAGATTATATTTTATAAATTGTTGACTTATGGTACAGTTTCTTTTTTTTCCTGTAGTGCTTCTTTAATATGTTTACCTTTTATGAGTGCCTTTTTAGATAGCTATGTGACAGATTTCTTTTACATTCAACCGCAGTAGGGACAATTCTGGTCACTAAAAAAGACTTATATTTCCTTAAGTACTCTGTTCTTTCTGTTTACTATTCCTTTGTCATGTTCTTTATAACCAAAAAATAATTTCAAGCATTTGAGAGGTAGCTTTTATTGTGATACTGAAACACAAACTTTTAGTCCTGACAGCACTCAGTCAAGCCTGTGATTAGTCAGTTAAAAATAGATTAATCATTAGCTGGAGTGCACCCCTCACCACAGTAAATGTTACATTTAATTGGAATAAGTTTATGTATAGTCTCTGAAGTGTATGTTACACATAAACCATTTTTACACTTCATAGTAACTTAAGGTAGTTTGATGAAGTGAGCATTGAGGAGTCAAGCCTGAACTGAGGTAAAAGATTACTTTCTTGTGAAATTATAAGGAAAATGGGATTTGAGAGAGCCTGATTTTTATGGGGCAAAGATCATGGTTTCCAATTACTGGCAGAACTTTCCCGGTATTTGCCTGGTGTCTTCCTGTTGAGGGCAAAGCCTACTAGCCTTCTCTGCAGATGACCATTTCTCCCTCTTCTCTCCTTCTATATGGGTCCCTTCCTTTTTTAAGACTCCCTCTCCTCTTCCATGTTTATTTTTCTATCCTTGCCAGAACACTGAAATCAGCAACCTTGTTCTTAATTTTAGTCTTAGCTATGGTTAGTTCATTTTTTTTTTAAACCTACCCAAATACTTGTTTTTAAAAAAGTTCATTGAGATCACTTGAAAGAAGGTTACAGCAGCCATTCCTTGAAGTTTCTTGAGAAAGAGGGAAGTGATAATAGGAACTGTCTTGCTTAAATGTCACATTTTACATTTTTCTCAGGTAATTGGAAAGTGAAGACTAGTTTGGGGAGTAGGAGAAACATAATCTAGTGTCTGCTTGAAATCAGTGAGACAGCATGGTTGGTTATGTAAAGCAGAAGTTCCAAGGAACTGGTATTTGTAAGGAAGCATAAGAGTAGAGTAAATATAGGTCTGGATCAGTGTCTTTATCTAGGAAGAAAGGAGTTTGTATATCCTCAAATATTCAAGATAAATTCAAACTCTTAATTCATTTTAAAATCTTGTTTAGTACTGTTGTAGCATGTGGGTTTTTAAACTTTCTTGTAAGAATTACATTATTTTCAAACATTACCCTTAATGGTTTGTCTCTGAAAACAGATCCAAAAGTTGAAGCCAAATACTCCTGATGTTTTCTCGTTTCTAGACCATAATTTTGTTTTAAATTAGTTTTTAATAATAATATTCATTTGGTGTGAAATTTTAAAAGTACCAAGAAAGTATAAAGTAAAAAGTAAGTTTACCTCTTCTTAGGTTCCAGTTTTGCTACCCAAAAGTAATCAGTTAGCAGTTTCTTACTTCTTTCAGAAAATGTGGAAGTATATATAAATGTAGATAAGTAATGTGGGTTTTAAAAATATCAGTATGTATAGTTACCTCATTAAAAAAAAAAGCTGCATAGTATTCCCTTTGTATATGTGTTCCACAATTTATTTAATCAACTTATTTTTGTTGATATTTGCTACATTCATCAGTATTCAGCATTCTGCATGCATTTTTTATATGTCTAAGTAAGCATATCTTAAGGAATAATTTGAAAAGTATATCACAGGGTATATGCATTTTAAAATTGGTAGCAGTTGTTGCCAGGAGTTTGCCTCAAGTTCTTCACGTCCCAACAGTGGAGGATATCATGATAGTAATAATACCTAGTATTGGAGACTTCCTGGTAGTCCCATGGTTGGGATTCTTCCTGCCAGTGCAGGGGACACTGGTTCAATCCCTGCTCCAGTAAGATCCCACATGCCACGGAGCAGCTAAGCCTGTGAGCCACAACCACTGAGCCTGCAAGCCGCAGCTACTGAAGCCCAGGGCCCAGAGCCCATGCTCCGCAACAAGAGAAGCCACTGCCATGAGAAGCCTGTACACTGCAACAAAGAGAAGCCCGTACTTGGCTCTACTAGAGAAAGCCCAGGTGTAACAATGAATTTAGACCCAGTGTAGTCCAAATAAATAAATAAAATTTTAAAAAGTACCTAGTATTTGTTGGGTATTTACTCTGTGCTGGTAATGTTCTGGGCTTCCCAGGTGGCGCTAGTAAAGAACCCGCCGGCTCGTACTGGAGATATAAGAGGTGTGGGTTTGATGCCTGAGTCAGGAAGATCCCCTGGAGAAGGGTATGGCAACATACTCCAGTATTTTTGCCTGGAGAATCCCATGGACAGAGGAGCCTAGTGGGCTATAGTCCGTAGGGTCACAGAGTTGGACATGATTGAAGCAAGTTAGCACGCATGCACAGTAATGTTTTAAGTGTTTTATATGTGTTCTCATTTAATCCTCCAACTCTTTGGAGGTAGATTCTGTCATTATCATCTTCATATCATAGAGAAACATTTAGAAAACCATTTTAGAATAATTTATATACAGAATAGTTAAATATTGATGGGACTTAGCTGTATTGTCAAACATTTTTTTCTTTTATTCCACTTTATTATATTTTTTTATTAATCTTTATTTTCTGACTTTTTATTTTGTATTGGGGTATAGCTGGTTAACAATGTTACGACAGTTTCAGGTGAACAGCGAATGGTGTATTGTCAAAAATTTTTGAGTGCTTTAAAAAAATTGACTTCTTTAGGTTCTTTGAAGTAGGGTTTTCTTCTAGATATGTTTTTAGCACTGGCTTTTTGACTCCAGGTCTAGTGTGTTTTAGTGTGTATAAACGATCAGGGGAAGATTTATCTACTAAACTTTAGTAATATGATTTGTAATGTGGATGGGCATTATCTGGAGTACTGGGACAATTTTTTCATAAGGCTATTCATCAGCGCTTATTGATTATTACTGTAGTGAACTGATGGGAAGAATGTTTTACATATTAAAGTCTTCTGTTTAACCTTCAAACTCTCTAAGGCAAAACTCTTGTAGATAATTAAAGGGTTTTGCCAGATTACCAAGAATGAGTTATTTAAGTCAGTACTTTGTATTGTATAACAAATTAGTTCACATGTAGTCAGCAGATTTCTGTGTAATCCCTATTTGCCTTTTGCTTTATCATTATTGTCTTTTAAATTTATTAGAGCTCTCTATTCAAGCCTAGAAAGCCAAAATGATATACAACTTGAGTTGTTGGACATTGGGTTATTTCTCTTTGCCAGTTGGGTAGAGTTTATACATCCTGTTTTGTTCTCAATATTTGCCAAGAACTTCCTATGTTTTAAAATAACCTAGTGGCAGCTAAGTTTCAGAGAGCTGCTCAGTGTGCCTTCTCAGAACTGCTGCTTAGATTTTTATTATATAGTACTCTAGGCTTTGGCTTCTCCCAGTTAACTGTGCTTTTGAGGACCTCCTTATTTTACTAACTTTAAATTAAATATTTATAGATTATATTTCTTCCAGACTTGAAGGAAATGTAAATACCATGTATGTCCCCAAATTCTAGCTCTCTTGAGCTAGAATATGTCAGTCCTACTTTCCTACTGAGGAGAAAAAAAAAGTTTTGACTGTCTTGAAATATATACATTTAGGGCTATAGTTAAAGAAGTCATTTATCTAAAGTAGCAGTTTTAGTCTTAAAACTAAATCACTAATTTATTTGCGTATATAAAATGTTGAATAAATATCAATTTAGAAATATTGCATGTTGGTACTCAAATTTCCTGATAATAGGAATAATAATAATAATAATTATTATTATTATTACTTACACACGCACCTTAGGTACCAGTGACTTGGTAATTGCTTGAACCACATTTTAGGTTGGACAGTTTTCAAGATCATATTATTCTCATCTTTGTGTAAGATATAGCACTTGCTGACACCATGAGTGATGCTGTCTGTCACTGGAAATTTTATCCCAAGCTACATATACCTTTTTTCCTTATATTATGACTGGAAAATCCCTTTTTCATAGGTTTTTTGTTTGGTTTTGTTTTATATCTCATAGCTGTACACTTTATTTACAGCTTTTAAAAATATATCCAACAGGTGTATATTCATATTTTGTGACTGTACTCCATACTGTATTGACTTAAGGGTTTTACAGGTGTACTCAACTTGTAAAGATGCTCAACCCTTGGAATTGTGAAGTCCTTACACTGTGAATTATATCTAAATTCATGAATATTTCTTTTCTAAAAGTAACAGGTTTTGTTGTTATTTTATAATTTTTGCATGGGAATTTTCACACTTTTAATATAAAAATGTATAAATACACAATGAACTCTTACATATTCAGAATCTAACTTCAGTTTTCAACATTCTGCCATTCTTATTTCATCTCTCACCTCTCACTTGTTTTTTTCTTTAATGGAGAGTTTCAGAACAGTTTCTGACATCATACCATTTAGTTTGTTTTATATACTACATATTTCCTACAGACTGGTAGATCTAAAAGCTTGATTAGATTCAGGTTCAGTTTAGCAACATTTCCTTGGTGGCACTGTGCACTTCCTGTTGTATCACATGTTAAAATTGATGAAAGGGTTTAGATTGTGTCATCCTGATCCTTCCACTATAAAATTTCCCATCAAC